CGTTTTCCCAAAAAATGCCGAAAAAAATGCTAGCACAATCGAGAAAGGCCTACTGGCGGTTCTTCATCTTCATCTTTGTTGTTGTGGCTGTTTGAACTGACTTTTGAGCGCTTTCCACCATTGCTCGTTCCGGGCGTAAAAGAATTTGTAATTTTTGACATGATAACCGACAGAAAACCTAGAAAGATAGTAAGATATCTTTTTCCCTGTGGTAACTTTTAGGACAAAGACATGCCGTAATAATAAACTCTATAAATAGCATGCGACGTGAGAAAACTTTTCCCGCCTCTGTCGGTGACATGCATGCAAGACGTGAATTCGCTCTCAGTACAAAACTTGTGTGTTCGGTTTAAATGATATCTTGAATGCATCAGATAACTATCAATGAAAATTTCATCTTTGGTCCCTTTACAGTTGCAAATTGTAGTGCTTCTTTTCACAAGTCGTGGTTTATAGAAATTGACAAAATTTGCATTTGCTTTGCAGTAATTTGATACTCATCTCATAATATGCTGTACGGTAAACAGCTTGCGAAGCAGTTTATATCACAAAAATCGGTTTTCATATGAATGCAGCTCACTTTTTTCTGCTTAGCTTTGGCCAAGTTTTCTTTTTGTGACTTATGTCGATTTTACTTGTTCGTCTTGTACTTTATTTTTTAAGAATAATTTTCGCATGTAGATAAAAATGAACAGCTCGAGCAGACTGGAAACTGCGCAAGTAGTAGTCATTTTTTCTTTCTTTTTATTTTAGTGTCCCCAATTAGTTTTTTAGCTTAACACTGCTGGCACTTTAATAAGTCTTAAATAAGGTCATCTATATATTCAGTCATTATTTATTTAGGCATGTAGAGTCACGTCGGCGTGACATTAAAATTACACATTACTGTGCAATGTCTGTGACATGCCTGTTTCAATATACCGGTATAAGAATTTTCAAGGACCACACATGTGAACGAAGAATTATTTGTTCAACGCGTTCTGTGTATATCGTCTTGGAAAAAATTACACCATTTTCGCCAAATATAATTTTCTACTACATAACGGCTCCTCGTCTGAATAAGAAATATGTAGCTCCAGGCCATCAAAATTTAGCCGGAGAATTCTGCGTAGTAGGCGGAGAATTCTCCGATCTCCGATGCCTAATGAACACCCTGGGTACATAGGAGAGGGAAAAGAACCCAACAAAAGGAGTGCTCTAGTGTGTTCTGAAACAAATACCAGGATGCACAATAAATAGGCACTGCTTGCATAATGGTGTTTGGGTTAGATGGAGGCTCTATGGTGTTTCTGTTACTTGGTATAATATCTGCAAAATAAGCAGTACTTCCGAATTTTCTTCCATGGCCCACCACAAGATCAAAAGGAGTAAGCTCTGGTAGAAGAAACTTGATGAAAAGAGGCAAACAAAGTTATTTAAGTAAAATTTTTTTTTTTTTTAATCATCTTGTATGTGAATGATCTATTGCTCGCTAAAACCAAACTGAACCAGAATATATATCATTAACATCTACCACATGCATAAAGGTCGTAGTGTTTTACAGAAATCTATCTCTGTATCCAATCACAATGAACAAATTTTTGAATGCAATAAGCAGTTCTTCCAACTTTCTACCTTGACCAACCACAAAGTCAGAAGAGGAAGCTCTTGTGGCAAAACGTTTATCCATCCCAAGGGATTGCTTAATCCTAGAGGGCACTATACAGTATTAAGATTCAATACTACCACATGAGAGGGAGAGAAGAGCCCAACAAAAATAATAGTTTTGTTGATACAGGAAGAAAAAATTAAAGATGTCTTTGCTGAGAAAAACACCAGAATGTACAATTAAAATACTTGGCATGCATAATTGAGTTTTTGGTTAGATGGAAACCTTTTGTTGTGTCCTCTGACAAGTTGTAACATTGCAAGCGAAATAAGCAGCACTACCCATTTTTCTTCCATGACCAACCACAAGATCACAAGAGTAAGCTCTGCTGTAGGGTTCTTGTCAATTTTTTTTATAGGAGATAACAAAGTTCTAATAGCAGGTAACTTTGTTACCTGCACACATGCTGGGTGTGTGGGGGCTGTGTAGGCACCCATTGGGGTACAGGGGCAGCACCCTGGTGGGGGGCCAGGGGGCAAAGTCCCCAGGGGCTCCTGGATTTTTAGCAAATTGAAGGATGTTTGGGCAGCTCTCAGTGCACCCTTTCCAGCAGATTGTGGATAATGTTGTTAGCTTACAAAATGTTATGAGTTTCTTTCATTCGTGTGATGCTTACACATTTAACCTCATTAAGGTTTGGGACAGCATTTCTGTATGTGTAGTGAGGATCTGGAACACGCATCAGGTAAATGAGTTGGGTTAGAAGTTTGAAAGAGCTTTTTGGTTCATTTTTCATTCAATGAAGACAGGTTTATATTTCTTTTAATAAATACCCATGCAGCTTCCCGTTTCCTGTATGCTCCTCGCAGTTGTTGTCGATTTTGTTTTGATGATCCCACCCAAGTCTCGCGGACTTGTGAGAATGAAAGGTTTTTTCTTCTTCGAGCCTTTGTTTCTTTTTTACAGGCAGATTAATATCAAAATTGAGGGAACGGCCTTGTATT